TCCACCCCAGGCACTCAGGTTTCAAAAATTAATTTTACTGCGAACACCGAACCTCCGGTTCAAACCAGAGCTCCGATATGAGCTCAGCCTAGAGCGACAAAAATCGAATATTTGAAGGTATGGGCTCTCAAATTTCAGTATAAAAACCAAAACGTCCATAACTTTTAGCTCCGATCTTCGATTTTGATGATCTTGGACATTTCGAAAAGCTTATCCGGAGGGCTATCCATCTCAACAAACTTCATTTTCAAAGCCTTTTCCAAAAGTGCTCAACTCTACCAGGTGCTCCGACATCTCAAGTGTGAGCTGGCACGTCTTAAGATAATTAATTATCAAGTAACACCGGGATGTTACAGAATATGCCAACAGAACATTCAGAAATAAACGAACTGTGGTCGGTTGACATGGATTCATATTGGTTGCTATTGATTACTTGCCGAAGTGGGCAGAAGCAGACCCTCTCAAGAATATGACTCATCACGAGGTAATTGAATTCATTACCGAGCTTATAATACGTAGATTCGGCATTCCTCGTACTTTCACCATAGATCAAGGAACGTCGTTCATATCTAAAGAGATATATGCATTCGCCGAATCTTATAAAATTAAGTTACTTAATTTATCTCCATATTATCCTCGGGCCAAGGATCAAGTCAAGTAATAAATTTTTGACCAAACTCATTAAGAGGAAGTTGGAGGATAATCCTAAGCGTTGGCATGAAGTTTTGCCTGGAACGGGAACATTTTGTGACTAGGCATGGTATTACTAAAGTTATTCCTTTTGAATTTGTGTATGGACAAAGAAGGTGAATCTAGATGCTTGGCAGGGCTCCTCCTGAGGGGCTCTGCAGAGGAGCCCAGTTTTTCACTGAAAAAATGGCTAAACATTTGGTAGGGCTCCTCCAGAGGAGCATGAGAGAAACTCTACCAAACAGGCCTAAGCAAGATGAGCTGTCTACTAAGGAGTATCATGAGTTGATGATGGAAAATAATGATTGAAGCTGCCGATGAGAGGCTCAAAGCTTTGAAGGAGATTGAATGAAAAGGATAAATATATGTAGCTAGAGCATATAACAAGAAAGTCAAGTTAAAATCTTTTCAAGTAGGAGATCTATAAAATGATTTTGCCAATTGGGTCGAAGGCGAATAAGTTTGGTAAGTGGTCCCCAAGCTCGAAAGGTCTATATGGAGTTATGAAGATAATTGTGGGCAACTCCTAATGGTTGAGACATTGCAAGGTGAGGATCTACCTAGAGCTATTAATGATAAGTACTTCAAAAAGTATTATCCTAGTACGTGGCAGGAAGCTTAAAGTATGCATGGCCGATAATATGATTATCTCCCTTAGATAAAATGTGGCCAATAAATATTTGTAATCATCATCCTTAGTTAATTTTTAGTTTATAAAATTGGTTTTTTTGGCATGCAAGCTTTGCAAAAAAAAAGCGAGGTATATGTTTGCCGTCAAAATTGACAGACCTACACCAAATGGTCTGATGAAGCCGCCCAGGTCGAGTCCAAGTCTTTCTATGATTTGGATTGACATTTTATGATGTGTTTGGACCTAACCCCTGGGATAGATCTCTCACACTATAAATATAAAGAGCCGCGACCGGTTAAGTGTATCAAATAGATTTAAATATAAAACTTTACTACTTCTATTATTTCTTCAGAGCCTTAATTTTTTTCAACCCCGTTTTTCTGTTGTCTTTTTGTCTCTACATCGATTTAAGACGTTCTAAGTAGCCTTAACCTTACGACAACCAACCGATTAATTGTCCAATCCGATTGCACGGAGGTTATAGAAACAATGAGAAACGACCGAAGACTTCTCGGCTGCTGCCGTGTACCCTGAATGTAACATCATTTGGAGCGGGCTCTAGAACTTCTCCATCGAACATTGCAGCAGGGAAGCATAGCAGACAACACATGAGCTGGTTAGACGAGCTATGCAAACTAAAGATGATTGTATTTGGAACCATGAGCTTCCTAGTTTTATTCTTGAGTTCTTGATAAACGATGTAACTATTCTTGATCAATAAAGCACTGATTTGTTTGTAAGGAAAAAAAGCGGCGTGGCTAGCGCTCGGACGTCCGGATGCCCGCGCCTGCACCGTATCGCGCACCTCGACTGCTCGGATTCCCAGTTCCCACGCTTCGTATCCCACGCTGCACCCCGCTTCGCATGCCCACACGGGGCCCGCACCCACTCGGACGACTCGCCCTGCCCACGTCGCACGCCCGCACGCGGGGACCATCTACGCTGGCTCGGCAGCACCCCAGCAGCTGTAGTTGGCGACTACGACAGTGGGTCCCATTGCAACATGTGCAACGCCAGATCTAATTTTGCAACATCTAGATGAAACACTTGCAATATATAGCCAAAACAGCTGAAACACTTGCAACATACGTCTGGAACACTTGCAGAATAACTGAAAACACTTAAAAGACATTGCAAACATATGCAACATTGAGATGAAACACTTGTAACATATGTGTGAAATATATACAACATTCCAGATAAAAATACTTGCAACATATGACTAGAAAAACATATGCAACATCCGGATTTACTTTTGCAACATCCAAATGGCACCCTTACAACATACCGTTGAAACATCTAAAATACTTGAAACATACGTTTACAACATGTACTATCAGTGCAACATTTTCTTGCTCCTTAGGAGAATGGAGGCTCGTCGGCACGTGGAGTTCATTGGTGTGTAGAGCTCGCCGGTGGCGTGGATCAGAGCTCGCCGCTCCGGTGGAGAAGATAGGCAGGAGGCGCCACGGAGAGGGGGCGTGGTGGGGAAGACGAGCGAGAGGCGCAGCCGAGCGTAGTTTTTTTTCTATGGTGACTGGAGGGAGCAGATACGAGAGCCTTGTGGGCTCGCTAATCGAAGCATTTACCCTAAAAAAGTGCACCAGTTCTGACAGGTCGGTCCCTCGTGGACTAGTGTTTGACAAGGGAGCCCTTTTGTTCTCTTCTTGATTGTTGGGATGAAGGTGACTGGTTTGTAGATTTTAGGAGAACCCTTTCAGTTTCTGAGTTTGGAAGCTGGAATTCTCTACTGAATGAACTTCAGACAGTCTCTTTGAACTCAGAAACTGAAGATTCTGTTGTTTGGGCCTTAGAAAAACATGGTTCCTACTCGACCAAGTCTTTATATAGATTCCTGGCCAATAGGGGATTCCCAAGTAGGGTGGCTGGGGCAATCTGGAAATGCAGAATTCCTCTTAAGATCAAATTCTTTCTCTGGCAGGTTTTAAATAATAAGCTTCAGGTGGGGCTTAGTCTGATCAAAAGGGGATGGAAGGGTAGTGGAAAATGTTGCATTTGTGACTGTTGGGAATCCATTGACCATGTTTTGTTTGGCTGTCGTTTAGCTAAAATGGTTTGGAGCATCTTTAGGGAAATTTTTGGCTGGGGTTCTATGCCTAAATCTCTGAAAGAGTTTTCTGAATCCTGGTTACAGGGCAAGGGGCCCCTCCCACACAAGCTGCTTATATGTTTACCTTTGCAGGGTTCGCCTGGGCTCTATGGATCACTAGGAATAAGATGGCGATCGAGAAAAAGCATCCAAAGGCTCCCACTGATGTTGTGTATCTTGCATTATCCTTCCTGCAGAAGTGGTGTATTTTGCTGAAGGAAAAGGACAGGGAGCGTGTGGAGAAGATCAAGGATGACATCATGGATTGGCTGAAAGGGTTCAAGCATAGTGCGGTGATGCCTACTGACATTATGGAAATCTGAAACTTGTAATAGGCGCGTAGCTTTTGAATGTAATCTTTGGTAAACTGGTGTCACCAGTATTGTATCAGATCTTGCTTTCTTAAAAGCAGAGGTGCATCCTCCTTTAAAAAAAAAAGTGTTTGACGGTCTTCCCGGCTGCAATCATCGAACTCGCCGAGGGTCCAGCCAGCGGCGATCCACGCGTTCTAACGCCGTGGCTGCTTTACCTACCATCGATCCGGCATCCGCCGAAGACTCTGTCTGTGGTTGCTTTACCTACCATCGATCCGGCATCCGCCGAAGTCGCCATAAGCGGAAGAAGCTCGATCGACTCCAATCAGCTAGCCTAGCGGTGGCGCCTACGCACATTACCTACTGCTACACTGCTGCGACAGGTTACAGGTAGGCACCCCCCACTAGCTCATGCGCTCATCCTAGATGCTACTTGAGTTCATGGAGGAGTGGTAGTATCCATGGTGTGGTCAGTCGTCTCTTTCTCTCTCCTCTTGTTTTTGTTCCTGCTTCAGTTCTTGATGCCTACTGTGAGTTTATGGCGACTTCATTTCATTCATCCCAATTTGAGAGGGCTTTGGTTTTTGGCCTTGCATCCATGTATGTTGACCCAATCGCATCTTCATCCGCATGTATGGGGCCTATAGCATATAAAAATAGAATCATTCGTTCAGTTTTCCCCTTTCAGTTTTCTTGTGCTCCAGCGAAAGATCGATGAGATATGTCCTCCTGCAAGGACTGACTAGCAATACCTTGTTTATCGTCTCCAAGTCGCCATTGATTCGGTCGATTTTTTGATAAATATTGTTTCCCCTCTCCCAGAGGAGCGAGAGAAATTTTGGAGCCCGTATATAGAGATCTAAATTCTCGCGATGTAGATTCTATCTTAAACGAATTATTAGAATCAGTGCGAAACATCCTTTTGGGTGATTCTTCCCCCTAGTGTTGTTCAGCGTTTCGTAGAAATTCAGGTGACTATACAATCAAAAACGTTTCTTTCACCGTACAAAGCTGGCTAGTCCACCCCCATTCACAGAGTCAACACTCCACTCCCATTCACAGAGTCAACACTCTCCACTGACCAGGAAGTGAACAGCGATTTCCTATCTTTTTCCCAAAAATGAAATCGGGTGTTCCCTTCCCTGTGCCTCGTTCCATTGCTCGCTCGTTGCTCGATCGATACCCGTCGATCCCGCTCCATCTCCACCGCTGCTAAAGAATGCGACTCCCACGGAGGTCCGCGGGGGCAGCCACGATGGCTGGGCGTGGGGGTGATGCCGCCGGACACCAGGAGCGGCGGCGCCTGGCTGATTCCTCAGCACAGGTTGTGTGTGTCTGCTGCATGCTGTTTCCACCTCAAGTATGGATGCAAGTTGTTTTCTTTCATATTTGCTATCCTTTTACCTCTGAGATCTCAATTGAATCTTTGTTTTAGTTTCTCTGATGAAACTTTCCCCCAACTCACTTGAAGGCTTTGAAGTTGCCCTGTGAAATTGTTGACACTTCACACTTGCCTGAAACTCTAAAAGCTTACTCCGCTCTGTATGAATTAAAAATTGCCGAAACACATTTCTCAATCATCAGCAGTCTCAAAACCTTGGATTTATCAGTCACTGTTGATCCTCACTTATTATTATGAAAAATGAAATCAGTACTTTCTGTTTTAAACCTTAGATGTCGAATTTTTAGTACCTATTAGCTCTCATATTAAGAAGGTGTTGCATTTTCTGGTCTACTGTTTTTTTTAGAGAACAAGCTGTATACTGTTAAATCTGTAATAATAGTGCCTTTGCTTGTTCCTATCATACTAGGTCTGGTGTAATGAGTAATGCGGTGGAGTTGTCATTCAGATACCGTGAATTTGTTACACTCCAAGTTTACACTGTGGCAGGTCAGGATTCTTTGAGGATCTTTTGTTCAGCTAGCAGGTATTATAATCCCCTATAAGAATAGTTTCCTTCCTTTCTTTTCAATAGTATAAGGTCACTTCAGTATCAAAGAATAGTAACATTACATATGACCTTGTTATGCAGGCAAGCGACCATCCATAGCATTCCTATCACTGTGCTGGGTTGCGCATGGATTCCCAAGGGGACAATCTTACAGATTTCCTTCAAACTAATGGGCGTCAGGTGCTTCAAAGAGTGGAAAACAACTACAGCTTGAAATATTTCACAGAGAATGAGATACGAAACATAACCGGTGGGTATAAGTATATTCTGGGAAGAGGGGCATTTGGTGAGGTCTACAAAGGAACACTAGAAGATCAATCCTCAGTTGCTGTAAAGAGATATATAAATGGGACCCATAAAGAGGTGTTTGCCAAGGAGGTGATAGTGCACTCTCAAATAAACCACAAGAATGTTGTTAGACTCTTGGGCTGCTGCACGGAGGAAAATGCTCTAATGATTGTCATGGAGTTTATCTCCAATGGGAACCTCAACAGCATACTTCATGGCAACAGCGCTAACGGTCAGTTCCCTTCCCTTTGGAGAAAAGAATAGAAATTGCCATTCAAGTTGCTGAAGTATTATGGTGCATGCATTCGATGTATAGTCCTGTTCTCCATGGTGACATCAAACCGGCTAACATACTGCTAGACGAAAATTTTACACCGAAGATATCAGATTTTGGAATTGCAAGACTCCTTTATGCTAATGGCCTCCAGCAAACTTCCACTGTCATTGGTTCCATAGGTTACCTTGATCCAGCATACTGTGAGAGTGGTTTTGCTGGAACTAATCACAAGGAAAAAAGCAGTGGATGGGACCATTACCCTTGCTCAAAGTTTTAATGAGGCTCTTACAAAAGGGGAGGATGTGCAGCGCATGTTTGATGAGGAAATCAGTGTTGCAGAAAACAAGAAGTTTCTTGCAGACATTGGACAGTTAGCAGCTAAATGCTTGCAGAGGGACGTGAAAACACGTCCTGAAATGGTTGAAGTAGCTACTAGTCTAAGGATGATCAGGAAAGCCATGCAGAGAGAGCTGGATGTACTGTTAGCAGCATACCAATTTGGAGATCTAAAAATTTTCAGTAAAACTCAAATGAAAAAAATGACAAGAAACTACCGCATGGCCTTTGGGAAATCGATGCGTGAATGTCTCTACAATGGAGTCCTCGGCATGAATCGTCCAATTATAGTAAGACTACTTAAGACAAGTTCAGAAACTGACAGAGATATTTCTGAACACTATGAGCATATTGAGTCAAAAGAATCACAAAAATGTTGCGAATGTTGTTGGCTTCCACTTAGGGGCATCTAGTTTAGAGTGTGTGTACGAGTCTTGCTGTGATCTATCCAAGACAATGTTTGGCTCTGTATCGTTTTCTAACAGAAACCTTTATGACACTATCTGCTCCATGGAAAAACTTCCTCTTCAACAATGCCTGTTGATAGCAGTCCAGTGTGCAGAGGGCCTGGTTCATATCCATTCATTAGCAGCTGAAAATCCTGATTCATGTGGCACCAGCCTCTTAGGAAACTTCAGATCTGCCAATATATTTCTGGACAAGAACTTTGTGCCAAAAATCTTCAATGTGAACTTGTCAACATTTCTTGGACTTTCTGTTGCACAGAAAAATATTGTGTTTCCTATTCATGACAATGGACCAGAAAAGTATTATTCAGACCCAAGGGATGTTTCTGGTCAACTTTTTAACGAAAAATCTGATGTATATAGCTTTGGAGTTGTTCTTTTAGAGCTCATCACTTGGAAGACAGTGAGATACATGTACCATGGTAGGGCTCATGTGCTTACCACAGACTTCCTTGATTCTTATAGGAGAGACCGTAATGCAATTGGAATTTTTGGCAAGGTTTGTGATTATTCTGATGAACATGGAGGGTACTTTGTTCATGAGGCCATTTCCATTGCCATCGATTGCTTACAACCTGATATTCAAATGAGGCCAGAAATGGATCATTTACTTTTCCGTCTCCGGATCATTGTTGCTAGAAGCAAACTTGCTGGTACGCGAAACATATTCTCTTCTCATATTTGCCTGTCGGCCTTAACCTGGTAGATACACACATAAAAAGCAAATAAAACCTGTAGCACTTAAGGTTTAGGTATAACTTTCAGCACAATAAAATTTCACCCTTACCATATACACCCTCCTTTGCTGAATTTTCGTTTGCAATTGTGTACCATGTATATAATTCAAAATATACTATTTGTTGTGCCATAGTGCTCTTCCAGAGAAGCAATAACCTTAGATACTGTATTTACTTCTTCAGTTTAAATATGTGTTGAATATTAGTACAATTTGGTTACATTTTGGACTTGAGTTCAGTTAGGGGTTAGGATGGAGTTTGAGTCGGACTTTGTAACCTAGAGGGACATAAAAAAATGAGGCCAATCCTTGTTATAACCGATGGGACAACTAACAGATGTCCAAACCTCGTTAAGAAACATTGTGCCTCAGTGTCGTTTTCGTTTGCTTATTTTCTTCTATCGTGTTTATGCTTTCACGTTCTTTAGTAGATCCGTTGGGGTCTTCGATTAACCGTGCAAACATTTCATTTTCTTCAATGCAGCTGGTAGTAAACTTCATCCAACTCTCATATCAACCATTTCCATGGAGGAACTGAATGAAGTAACCAACCATCCGCCAAATGTTTCCTGGGAGTTCTTAAAGATGGGCAGAATTTTGCTGTAAAAAAGCTTGATATTTCTGAAGAAATTCAAGTAGAGGTCATGCCTGTGTGCCTTGCTTTTTTTTTTAACTTTTCCAGTTATTGTTCTTCATTTATTGTTCTGTACAACAAAGGATTACCTTCTAAATTATACTTCTGTTGCAGGTTCCGACCATTTTAAGAATGTGTTACCATGACAATGTTGTGCAATTTCTTGGATGTTTTCTTGAAGGGAAAACTCGTGTTCTTGCTTATGAGTACGCCCCAAAGGTCTCCTTGCATGATATCCTTTGCCGAGCACCGAGCGAGGCACCCCCATCCACGGCAAGCCCCCCCCCACACACACACACCAGTGAGCACCCACCCCACCCACGGCGAGCCCACCCAGCGCCCCCACGGCAGTTCTCCCCGCCGCCCTCCCCCACGCGGTCATGGAGTACAGCACGGCAACGACGCCTCCAAGGTCGGCCATGGAGAACAGCAGGTACTCAGTACCTCGAAGCCGAAGGATTTCAAACAATGAACTCCCTCTTGTTCATTGCGAGTACTGTAAGTGCCGGTTTCTCAAGGTCTTGACAGCGAAGACGGACAAGAACTACGGCCGCCGGTTCTACATTTGTCCAACTCGAACAGTGAGAATAGTTAGCTGTAAATTTTGTGTGATTTGATGACTGAGTCGATTTGATTGGTTTCCCTTTATTTGGCGACAGGGAGAAGGTGCTGGTTGTCCATTTTGGGAGTGGGAAGAGGGGTATGAGCAATACTTGGTTGACAATAAATTGGTGCCTTTAGATTATCAATCTGTTTTCGAGTCTACAAAGTTGCCGCAGCAAGTCCTAATTGTCGAAAACAAGGCGAACTGTGGAGAATCAAGCCAGGAAGAACAACTTAAGCAGCTTAGGGAGATAGTAATGCTGCGGAAATGTTTGATTCTTGTTTGTGGACTTGTGTTAGTTAGCAATTTGTATGCAATTGTCAAGAGTGGGTGAATCTTGTGTACTTGTATACATTAGCAATTTTGTGTGCCAATGTATCAAGTTTGCAGTAGTAGTAAACTGTCAGATGAACAGAATGTATCACTTGAGGTATGAAATGTTGTATTCTTTAGCAAGTACCAAATATATGCTTTAGATTCTAGCTGTGTTCTCTGTCGAAGTGTATTTGGTAAATAAATGAGATTCATGATGTAATAGTTTGCGCAGCAGCAGGGATCAGAAGAAGGTAGAGGCCAAAGTCTGATATCCTGGGCTGGAAATCAGTGTCAAGCATAATGTTATTTGTTTTGAGATTGCCGTGAATGATTGGTTTCTGCGATGCTGTGTGAATGTGGTCCAGTCCTTTGACAATGCCGATAGACAGCTTGCAAATTATTTCCCATCTATGTGAATCATTGATTCCCTCTGGAGGTCAGAAGAACAGATAAACTGAGACTAGCTTGTTAGTAATGGGTGAAATTCCTTTATAACTAAAAACTGTCCTTTTCAAGTCGTTGATATTCTGAAATGCAAACGGCCCAAAGTTCATTGCAACCAATCTGCACCAGTTGCAACGAGAGCTGATAGGTGCAGGAAACCACAAACAGTTCAGAAGTGCCACAATTCCACCAACATAAAGCCCAGAATAAGTCATGGAAACAGCTAAAGATGCATTTCTCCGTCTGATTCATCAAGTTTCAGATTTTCCACCAACATAAAGCACATATTTTTCATCTATTCCAGTGCAGTAGTAGTAACAACATACAATCAAGTTTCAGAAACACACAAGCCTGGTTCATCAAGTTTCAGAAACACACAAGTTTCAGTAACAACATACAAACTCATACAGGACACAGGTTCATCAAACACACAGGTTATGAAAATGACACAGGTTCTCAGATTTTTTTCATTTTCCTTGGGACCAACTTCTTCTGTGTCGTTCTCTTCTTTCTTGGTGTTCCTTGAGTAGTGCTGGGCGACCCATCAGTAGGTTGGCCATCTGTGCCTTCTCCCATCAAGAATGCGAAGCGGCTGAAAAAAAGGAACAAAATTAAGTAACTGAACTCCTTCATCTTTCAGGAAGTATAGATGGCTGTCTTTACCTTCTTGTCAGCCTAATTGGGCTGTCTTGCAAGATTGTTTCATTACTTGGTTTGGTGGGGCTGGTTACTACAATTGAATTTTCTGCAACAAATGGGACTATAGCATTTTCATTCAAGGCTTGCACAATTGTATTTTCAACTTGCACAGTTGCATTCTCAACTTGCACAGTTTCATTCTCAGCTTGCACAGTTGAGTTTTCAGGCTCCTTATCTTGCTTCTTTACTCTTTTTGTTGGGACTTTAGCATTTGGCCCATATTTAGTAGTATTTTTCCTGGGCTTTCTTTTTCTGCAGGGAGAAAAAATATTAGTTGCCTGCAATCAATCAATAAAACAGCATGGTGCAATCAATCAATAAAATGAAGAATAAAAGATGCTACCTTTTCTTTGTCCCATTTAGCTTGCACTTGTAGCTAGTTTCTCTATGACTCAGTTCACCGCACCGCTTGCACTTCCTTTTCCCTGCAATTAGTTGCCTCTTTCCCTTAGCAGCTTCCATTTCTGCATCCTTATCGGCCTGATTGGCAGCATCCTTTGCATCTTTTTTTGCTCATGCCACCACTTCCCCCCTCCAGACATCCTTTGATTCGCAGTTTTCTCGGCAGGTCTTTTAGCTAATGGGGTGTTAACTGCAAAGTCAAGCACAACTTCAGGCCACTGGGTCTTATCTGGAAGTGGCTCTATCAGTCTCTTATAAGCATTCTTGAACCTTTCCACTGAGTAATAATCATGAACAAAGTCTTCCATCTTAACATCAGAACTTTGTTGTGCTGTTATGAGGACCAAGGCATGCTGACAAGGTTTTCCAGTGTGCTGCCACTGAACAGGTATATCAATGCAAATGTGACTTGACAACATGCCTATTATGTGTGCTGGTTGTGTCATGTATCTCTACAGCAAAAGCACCTGCCTTCACAACTGTTAGGTTTCCTAAACCTCTAGTCCTTGCTTTCAGTTGTTGTAGTACTGCAGGTAGGATCCTACCATGAAGCTTCTTTGAAATTGCACGTCTCTTGTTCCATAGTGTCATTATCATCTCTCTAATCTTGTCAGCAAGCTCAGCTATAGGTAGGTCTTTCCAATCTTTGATCCAATTATTGAAACGCTCTGCAAGGTTGTTGGTAATATAGTCACACTTGATTTCAGGGTTGAAGGCACTTCTCATCCATAACAATTTGTGATGGTTTTGAAGCCATTCCAATACATCAGGGCTAGCTAACACAATTTGGTTCAAGAAATGCCTGAATACTTGAGGCCTATATGTTCTTGCTGCAGAATACATTTTTGAAAAAAATATCTTCCCCAAATCTTTTAATAAAATTCTACATTAGATGCCTAAAACATTCTCTATGTTCAGCTTGAGGGAACACATCTTTTACTACTTTTTCTAACCCTTTGCATGCATCAGTACAAATAGCAAGCACTGGTAGGTGTCCTATGGCCTTATGTAGCTGACTCATAAACTATGTCCAGTTATCTATTGTCTCACCATCTATGAACCCAAAAGCAAATGGATACATCCAATTGTGACCATCTATAGCAATAGCTGCAGCCATATGCCCATTCCATCTACCATTAAGTGTTGTTGAGTCTACGCTAACATAAGGCCTACAACCCTCCAAAAACCCTCAATGCAAGGACTTAATGCACAAAAAATCTGTGGAAGTAGAATTTCCCATCTACCTGCTTTATGTCAACTTCAATGACACTTCCAGGTGATCGCTGCAGTACCTCTGCCGTCCAATTGAACAACATTTCGAAGTTCTGTTGCCAGCTACCAAACAACTCCTCCAAGGCAATTTGTCTTCTCTTCCATACGGTGTCATAGTGAATCTGACACTTGTGCTCATCTTGTAGCAGTTTCTGCATGTTTTTGGTGCCTATGGTGGAATCCTTCCTGAGGTGACGAATGGCCTTTGATGCCACCCAGGCACTTGATGGAGTGGTGGTCCTCCTCCTTGCGCTAGAAGTACAGGTATGCAGAGCAATCAAAGCTGTAACCTGCAACAAGCCAATAGCCAAAATATTAGATATTTACAAAAAAAAAATGGTGACATAAAGTTAGCAAAAGTTATACACCTTGACAGTTATCCCATCAGGTTGTGTTCACCCATTAATATGCTAAGGGCAATCATCTGCATTGCAATCAGCAATGTATCTCTTCTTATCTATTTTGATTAAGTGCAGTTCAAACTCCTCATTTATTGCAAATTGTTTCATAGCCAGTCTAAACTCCTTCATGTTTGGATACACGGTGCCAATATCCATACAAGGCTTGTTAGGATCATAAGCATAGAGTCTTTCCCCTGGTACATGATCATCAACAGGAATTGCAGCACCAGTTGTGTCAATATCAATGCCAGCAGTTCTATTTCTAGCTGGGCTGTCCCTCTCAGCAGCAGCATGAGCCTCAGTCTCACTAGGCCTATCATGCTGATCATCATCAGTTCTCAAACCTAAAAGACAGAACAACTGATCCTCATCAATTATATCTAGCACACCCTCACTCTCTTCATCAACTGTATCAGCAATCTGCAGTCTGTCCCAATCAACACCTCCATAACATTCTACAGCCTGTGAACTGCCAAGGACATCACATGTTTCCTGTTCTACAGGCTTATCATTGCTACCAACATCTCCAATTTGTTCTACTGCATCTACACTAACCTCAGGCTCCGCATCGAGCCTGGAGAAATTGGATTTTTTTTTGGCAATGTCACTGTATTGGCTTCCCAAACTGAGTTAGAGGAATACAAACATTGCAAGAAAGAGGAATCATACCGAATGAGGTCACTCCATCCGCAGTCCATGGGGATTTTGATTGCTCTTTGTTACCCTAGCAAATCACCGTGGGTGGGCTCGCCGTGGGGGCCGCTCATGCCGTGGGTGGGGCGCTGGGGTAGGGGCATGGGGGCGCTGGGCCACTCGCCATGGGTGGGGTGGGTGCTCATTGTGGTGTGGGGGGGGGGGGCTTGCCGTGGATGGGGGGTGTGCTGCCGTGGGGTGGCTCGCTCGGTGCTCGTGAAGCGGCAGCAGCAATGAGCTCGATCCGTTCTCGCGCCCTCCGTTCCGTCTGTGCGGGCACCGGAGAAAGAAAGAGGAAAGGGACAGGGGCAGAAGAGGAAGAAAAGGGTCCCAATGTCATCGGATGGCATTCTGGCAGATGGGTCGCGTTTCGTAATGGCTAAGTGGCGAAGCCCCGTTGCAGGATGGCAAATCATTGAAGCCCACTGTCCATAATGGTCGAATTCCAAAAAGCCCCAGCAAATGACACAGTTTGCTCAAGACGATGTGGTACAACCCAATTCTGAGGTGGAACGCAAGGGGATCTGATCTAAAATAAAATCCTGATCAAAGTTCCTTATTAGCTGAAAACTTTGCAGTAAAAAAAACTAAGGTGGTTATAGAGGCTATAATATATCTCATTCCCAACGTCATCCTACTTGTCTTTGCTTTCCTCTGCTTCCTGCTAGTATCGACGTTTGAACTTTGCAATCTGACCAAGGCTTTGAGCCATTTGTCGCTTGGCCCTCATGTGGTACACTTTGCTAGTGTGGTTCACCTTGGTCATCATGATATTGATGAACCTACCACTCTGCATCACATATGAAATCCATGGCATCTGAGGATGCAGTCCCTTCCTCATCCTTCAGACCTATTCACAAGTAGCCAGGCGAGCAGATTCATCAGTTAAACAAGGATGATGATGAGATTTACTGATGCTGAACTTCTTTGTAAAAAGGGCGTACCCAGTGCAGAGAGCTCCCGCTCTGTGCGGGGTCTGGGGAAGGATGTCAGTGGCAAGCCTTACCCTCGCCTGTGTAATGTGAGGAGACCGCGACTCGAACCCGGGACCTTCCGGTCACAGGCGGTAAGACTCTTTCTTTGTGAGTTATAAATTTTGATTGATCAC